TGCATGTTGTTTCTTTTTTGCCGATTGCTCCTGACATCCCAAAATCCGTGGTGCTGTAAAAACAGCTCCGCCTGTGCAGCTGCTGCTTCCCTGTCTGCTTGTATGAACCTCACTGGATTTTGGCTTCGTCAACCTCGATCACTCCAGAGGAGAGTTCCCTAAAGTCTGTCCTCTCTGATAAGGATTAAATGTGGATGTTGCCAAAGAGTGTCTGCTTGGCTTTGCAGTAGAAGACCTTCGTTTTTCCATGTGCTACCTGGGATTGGGAAGTATCATCTCTCCCTGCCAGCAGCAGGACCTGCGTGACTGCCGTGAAACTCTGACTGGAGTTCATGAATATTTCCCTGGAAAATTCCTCACTCCTGAAGTGCAGCTTGTGTTTTGAAGACTCTTTAAATTATTAGTCTAACTTCTCTTGAGAGAAGCTCTGATCAAAAGCCTGGAATGAAATCTAAAAGAAGTCTCTTTCAAATCCTACAAACACTGAGGCTGGAAAAGAGCTCCAAGATCAAGTCCCCCCTGTGCCCCATGCCCACCTTGTCCCCCAGCCCAGAGCACTGAGTGCCACAGCCAGGCCTTCCTGGGACACCTCCAGGGCTGGGCACTCCAAACCTCCCTGGGCAACCCCTGCCAGTGCCTGACCACCCTTTCCAGGGAGAAATTCCAGCTGATGTCCAAGCTGACCCTTCCTCTCCCCCTGTCCCTTGTTCCCTGAGCTGCCTGCCCCCCCCCCCCCCCCAGCTCCCCCCTCCTGTCAGGGACTTGCAGAGCCAGAAGGTCCCCCCTGAGCCTCCTTTTCTCCAGGCTGAGCCCCCCCAGCTCCCTCAGCCCCTCCTCTTATTGTCATCTCTATCTGAGGTGCCTCATGCAGGTGTGGGAACAGGAATTTGATCCTGAACAAAAATTCCTTGATTTTTTTTTTTCCTCCCCATGGTACCCACAAAGAAAAATAGTCCCATCATATATTTGTGAATAAACTCTTGGTTTAGGATCTTGGTGAGTTCCTAAGGCAAGGAGACAAAGTGGGAGTTGTGCCTGTAAAGACAGTTTTCCTTCCAGTGGGAGATGTCCCTGCCCATGGCAGGGTTTGGAACAGGATGATCCTTAAGGCCCCTTCCAACCCGAACTGTGCTATGATTCTGTGATCCCTTGTGTCAGGTTGTAGTTTATTTTCTCCTAACATTATTCCTCTAGGAGAGGACTGGGCTGGAAAGGAGAGCTGCCTTAATCTGGGGTTTCATGGCCACCATGTAAATATAGCTCAGGGTTCACCAGCTTTGCATTCGACACCCTGGGACTGCTTTGCATGTGGAATGTTGGAGCTGCCATGGGCACCTCCCCTCCTGGCTCTTCATATCAAGTGATCTCCGTGCCCCGTGCTGCTGGAGATAGGAGCTATTTAAAGGAAGCTGTTTATCCAGAGCTCTGGAAACAAAAGTCTGAAGGGTGAGAGAACAGGAAACTCGAAGATCGAGTGGCTTTTCCCTCGCAGGGTGCAGGGAACAGTCTCGTGGGTTTGGGATGAGAAAACCCAGAGTGCTGCTTGTTTAGGGAGCTGATAAGGGTTTCTGAGCTGGAGACTGGCACATTCTTTCTGTTAGGAACTCGACTGCTCTGAAGTGCATTCCAGCTGCTTGGGGTAAGAGTGGTAATGGGAACGGAGCCGGGGGCTCGCTCTGCTCTCCCTGTCTGGTGCTGCAGAAACACAAACACAGACTGAGACAGTCACTGCTCATGCAGAAAGTTCTGGATCGTTGGAACCATCCAGTCACCATAATTCTGTGAGGTGGGTGTGGGGGCATTGCTGTCTTGCATCTTTTTTTTGGGTGCCTTACCCAGGTGAGCTCTGCTTTTCTCAGGGGTTGCGGTTCACTCCATCCTCCCAAGGGCTCTCACTGGGAACTGGTAGAGACAGGCAGCTGCTACTGAAAGTAGTAAGAACCTTCAAAATTACAAAAAAAACCAGGAAAGAGGTGTTATTGTTTGCCCTGAAATATGGATATGCTTTTGGGACTGTTTGGAGTAACTGTTGTATTCCAGATGGGTGTATCTGGGGAACTCTCAGGGGACACACTGGAAGTAGTCAGTGTATTAGTGGGATGCAGGTGAGTCAGTTTTGGAGGGGGGAATCTGTGTGGAAGGCTGGCTGGAGTTAGAGAAGCCCTTGGAATGTTCCATAGTAAGAGTCTGAGGAGCTCAGGAGCCGGAGGAGCTGAGGAACAGGAACTGCTGGTGCAGGGTGGGAAACTGGATCCTGCAGGGATGGCAAAGACGACAGGACAGTCTGGGTGCCAGGCAGGACCTGCTCCCTGCTCCTGCAGGCAAGGGAAAAGGAGGAGTGGGAGTGGCAGGGGGTGTAAATGAGATCCCAGGCTGCCTTCCCTGCTCCCGCTGCTTTTCCACATCTTTTGTGGAAAACCAGTGTTGGGGAGGAAGAAAGTTGGGAACTTGGAATCAGGGTTGCAATTCATGGGGAGGTATCTCTTAAAATTGTTCTCAGAAAAGGTTCTCAAGATTGGAAAACAGTTCCAGTCAATCATGGACCACAGGAGTGGGGATTTGCTGGATATAGGACTTCTTTCTGCTGCTCACCAACTCTTCTGTAAGGTGGAAGTCTTCTCAATTTATTGTGGGAGGGGACAAGGTGAAGTCCATCTTGGGCTACTGTAAGACCCAACACTCAAGAAATCTTTGCAGCCACACCTGGAGTTTTAACAAATCTGTCGGTTTGGGGTAAGAAAGACAGATATTTAACCTTTCTGCTTGTCAGTCAAGAACACTCCATATTTAAAAAGCAGCAATTTTACAACTGGGGGCAGTTAATCCCACCTTGGTAGTACAGGAATTCTGTCCTTCAGGGATTATTTTGAGAGAGGGGCAGCTTTACCAAAGGCAAAAGTGGTTTTGTTCAGACTGAGAACCCGTGGAAGATTCTCCTTCCCTGTTCCCAGGGCCGTGGCTGCCATGGAGCAGCACTAAAAATGAGCCCACACTTTTCATTTTCTTCAACTCTGCCCCAAAAGAGAGGGCTGTGGGTTGGTTTCCTTAACAAATGAGGTTAAGTTGAATGTTTTCAATGCAAAGACATGGGAATATCCTGTGTGAGAGTGGATCACAGCAGTGGATGTGGGATGGACTTTAATGAGCAGCCTTGGAGCTTTGATGCCTCTGGGTGTGATGTGGGTGTTCAGCCTTGGGGAGCAGCTGGAGAGAAGGACCCCGATGTCCCAATTCATCACAGGGTGGCTGAACTGCAAATAATGATGGGGAAGAGGAAAATGTGGGTTTATTATGTCTGTCAGCAGAGTTTGCTTCTGTGGGGAAGGAGAACATCAGTGTTACCACTCAGCCAAGAGCTGGCATTGAATTCCTCAGATATCTGAATTCCACACAAGGTATTTCTCCTTTCCTTGGTGTTGTCACTCTCCTTCCCAGCCCTTCTGAAGGGAGCAGGACTCTCTCAGAAGGTTTTGCCTCTTACTAAAGCTAAAATGACACCCTTTTCACTGGGCTGTTTCCTCATTTATCTAAAAACTCTGGCATTTTACTCCCCTGGAACATGAAATGTGCCTCTGCAGGGAGAGAAACACAGGTTAGTGTTTCTGTCTGCCCACTGAGCAGGTGCTGAGAGGATATTGTGCTGGACATTGCCCTCATGGCTTGCTGTGGTGAAGAACAGGTTGGACATTTCTCCACGTGGATTCAAATACTTGAACTCTGTGCCTTGGTTTATGTTCTTTTCTGCGTGGAGAATATGAGGAGTAATTATTTTGAGAGAATCTTATTTTTAAAAAAAAAAAAAGATAAGTTTGCTTCGCAATAAAGAAACGTTACCAACAAAACGTAAAATATTGGATAGAAAAATCTGAGACACGACACCCAGTGGGTGAGGAGATGGTTCCCTGGGAAAGCTGGTGGGTGCAGTTCCACTGGAATCATGGAAAACTACGGCGAGCAGGCGGCTGGGGATAACCACGGGCTCGTGACTCAGACGTGGCTGCCACAGGTGGCCGGGCAGGTGTGGCCCTGGCAGTGACTTTGTGAGCTCTTAAGCCCCTCACTGAGCACCTGAAATGCTGCTTAGAGCAGGGCTGTCCTGCTGAGCCTGGATTACTGCAGCTTTAACGGGGGCTTTGGGGAAACCGGGTACGACGTGGAACGGGGGGAAAAGTTGCTGACGGTTTTCATGGAATGTCCTGAACGGGTTCAGCAAGTGTTTGATGGGAAATAGTGATTCCAGAATGGCTGGGGTTGGGAGGGACCCCTGGAGATCACCCAGTCCAACCCCCTGCCAAGGCAGGGTCACCTGAGCAGGTGACACAGGGATGTGTCCAGGTGGGATTGGGATGTCTCCAGAGAGGAGACTCCACACCCTCCCTGGGCAGCTGTTCCAGGCTCTCCACCCTGGTGGAGAGAAGTTCTGCCTCAGGTTGAGGTGGGACTTGCTGTGGTTTGGTTTGTGGCCATTGCTCCTCGTCCTGTCCCTGGGCACCTGAGCAGAGTGTGGGACCATCCTGAGAGCCCTTGGGGATATTTGTGTGGATTGATGGATCCCCTCTCACCTTCTCTCCTCCAGGCCCAACTCCTCCAGTCTCTGCTCGTCAAGGAGATGCTCCAGACCCCAGATCATATCTGTGGCCCTCCTGGACTCTCTCCAGTAGCATCTTGTCTTTCTTGAACTGTGGAGCCCAGAACTGAACCTAGCACTCCAGAAGTGCCTCCCCAGGGCAGCAGAGGGGCAGGATCCCCTCCCTGACCTGCTGGCCACACCCTTCCCGATGTCCCCCGGGATCCCACTGGCCTTCTGATCCCAGCAATAGCCAGGTCATGTTCCTGCCGAGGAGAGAAAACTCAGGAAAGCTGCCTGGATCACTGGAGGGGGCCTGCAGCAAAATATCCCGAGTTTCAGTTACTCAGATTTAACACAACTCATTTCCCAGCCATCCCCAATGAACTCCTGTCCCAGACTCTGGAATCACATTCCTTCTGCCTTGTGTTTTGCAGATAAGGAGTTTCTGAGGACTGAAGTACCTGCAAAGGGACACCTGCTTTTGAGGTAGGAACTGTTTTTCTAATGACCCAACGCTAAATCTTTAATTAAGGAGCAAAGGTTTGATACAGCTGGGTGTGCACATGGGAATGAATGACCATCCAGGGATCTGAGATGGCAGTTCTGGGAACTTCTGTGGAGCAAACATGTCTGGAATGCACTCACCTTTCCATTCTAACGTTCCCCTGTTTCTGTTTGGGATAACAGGGCTGGCGTGGGACTCAGGAATTGTCCTTTCTGGCCAGTTGGACCTTCTTTTCTTGCCTTTTCTGCTGCAAAGGGCACACATTTAACTTGGTCACTCAAATCTTCTTTTTATCAGAGTAAGAGGACTACAAAAGATTAAAATGGGTAAACAAGGCTAAGAAAAACAAGTCTGATTTGATTTGTTAGGAATTGGGAGCAGCGGATCATCCACGTTTCTGATCCTCACTGTCCTTTGGGGGAGGCTCCAGAAAGCTCCACTTCCACTGGAGTCTGCAGTCGGGGGATAGTTGAGGTGCTGGTGTTCATGTGACATGTTTTGGTGAAGGAACTACAATTTATTCATGATATTTGTGTGGGCTGAGGGACCCGGGATCTTCTGCAGTGCAGTTTAACTGTGATTGTTCTCAAGTGCTGTGTGTGTTTGACTCCTGAGAGGAATATCAGCCATTTTCTCCACTGTTTGACCCTTTCTTTTGCCTTTTCCCTGACAAAATGGGCTGAGTTCAGAGTGCTGGTGCCATCCTGTGGGTTTGGCTGTGAGGAATGCCAAGGAGTCACACGGATGCAGTTCATAACACCTTGTTCTTACATCACCAGCTGTCTCTGCTGTGATTTATGGGCACTGCCTGGAGGTGACAGCAGCCTCAAAGGTCTCCTAAAACTTAGAGCAAGGAAAAAAAGGGCATCTGAGGAACAATTTTGTCTCCTTAAGTGGCACATGCAGAGAGGACACTGTGGGTGCAAAGTCCTTTATTTTCAGTGGGGTTCACACTCCTGTGTGTCCTCGTTCACGGTGTGACTGGAAGATGCTCCTGTGTGTCCATTCCTGGTGTGACTGGAGGAGACTCCTTTGTATCTATTCCTGGTGTGACTAGAAGATGCTCCTGTTGATGCTGTGACAGGGCCCAGGCCCAGCTGGGGCAGCCCCACCACTGTTTTTGGCAGCCCCACCACAGCCCCACCTGAAGTGGTTCTGTAGAAGCCACGTGAACAGCAGCCCAGTGAGGTGGCTGATCTCCCTCGGGGTGGGATGGAGGGAGGGGACGTGCCCAGAGTGCCCTGCATGCCTTTCCCCGTGGCCTCAGTGGACCTGAGGAGGTCATGGGAGGTGTCTGTCACCTCCTCCTGCAGGGAGGGAGCGTGAGGGGACAGAGAGGTGACGTAGGAATGTGAGAGCAGAGCGCTGTGTTTTCCTTCCTTCACCCTCCAGTCTGGAGTGGTTTTTATTTTTTTTCTCCTTTCTCCTTCACTGAGCTTGGACCAACTGGTCTGAATGTCTGCCAGACTCCTTGGGTGTCTGGACTCGCTCTCAGACTTCCCTCAGTCACAGAATATCTCCAGTTGGAAGGGACTCAGGGATCATGGAGTCCAACTCCCTGCTCCTTGCAGGACCACCTAAAAACAATGATATGACAAAGGGTGTTGTCCAGGCACCCCTTGAGCTGTGCCAGGTGATGTTGTTACCTCCCAGCTTGGGGGTCTGCTGGTGTGATTTTCCTCCTTCCTTCCTCTGTTGTCCAAAAATGGGAGTTCCAGTGTGAGCTGCCTCCCGGAGTCCCAGGGATCCATGTACCTCTCCACACTTGTTGTTTGTGGTTTCAGGACGTGGAAACCAAACAGGTGCTTCCCACAGACACTATTCAGCAGCTAAAAGTGCTTCCTGAAGTAATTTATCCTGGAACATTTAATCCCCACTCATTGACTGCTCAGATGAATAAAGGCAACTTCCTCCCAACGTCCTCTGGAGAAGCTGGGAGAGAGGCAGGAAGGAGGAGGTGTTTGTGGCAGCTGGGCACTGCCTGGTTTTGTTGGATGACCTGGCTAAGCAGTGTCCTGGTTGTGGCCTTCCAGGAACCTGAAGGAGCCCCCAGGAAAGATGGGAGAGAGACTTTGGACAAGGGATAGAGGGACAGGACACAGGGAATGGCTTCCCACTGCCAGAGGGCAGGGAAAGATGGGATGTTGGGAGGGAATTCTTGGCTGTGAGGGTGGGGAGGGGCTGAAACGGATTTCCCAGAGAAGCTGTGGCTGCTTCTGGATCCCTGGAAGTGTCCAAGGCCAGGTTGGAGGGGGCTTGGAGCAACCTGGGCTGGTGGAAGGTGTCCCTGCCCATGGCAGGGGGTGGCACTGGATGGGCTTTGAGGTCCCTTCCACCCAAACCATTCTGGGATTCGAGGATTCTACTTTACCGTGAGTGGTTTTACTTCCTCAAAGCAATGTGGGAAGAACTGTAAATTAAAATAAAAAGAGGTGTTTTTTTCCCAGTACTACACTGAATAGCTATTTACCTGGTCCCTCCTCCTCCCCTTTTTGGAAGGGAGCTGCCTGTGTCCCAGGGCACAGCAGTGGGACCCTGAATCATTCCCTAAAGGAACTCCAGGCTGTGCCTGATAACACCGAGGGGGCACCTGGAATTTCTTTTATTGCTCTTCCTTTCCTGAAATCTCAGCTTTTGTTTTCTCACCCATGCCTTGTTTTTCAGCCACCCTCGAGTGTGTTTGTTATCAAGAGCACGGAAGTGTAAATACAATAGTGGCTGAGCAGCTACTCCCTTCCTCCTCCTCTGGCTTCCTGCACTCGGGAAGGTGGGAACTATTCTGCATTTATTCGTGTCAGAAATGGTTGTTCTTCCCCCTGGTGCCGCCCCATCAGATTCCAGACCCTAGAGGGTCAGGGCAAATAGAGGTGTTTGCTCTCACAGGCGTTCCTGGGGAGGGAACTAACACAGGGCCTCCTGCTGCAGCTCCTCCCAGTGTCCTCCCATCCTCCTGCCTGACAGGACATCCCATTGTTTAACCAGATAAGGCACCATTCTAGTTGAACTAAGCCTGCCTTCTTCTCCTTGCAACATTTGAGCAATATTTCTTGAGGAAAAACTAAGTGTTGGAGCAGTGTCTTCTCTGACTTGAGAGCATTTCTCCCAGACCTCAAATTTTCAGTTATTTTTGAGAGTTGTTGCCTAAATGTGGTTCTTCTGCTCGTTGTAGTTGGGTCATGATTTCTGTGTCAGGCACAGATTTTGTCATTAAAATTGGGTTAAGATAAGGGAAAGGCTCAAATGTAGAATTTGTTCTTTTGACTTAAGAGTTGGACTTGTGGGTCCCTTCCAGCTCAGAATATTCTGTGACTATCTCAGGAGGAGCTGGGTGAGAGCATCAGGCTGCCCTCAGACTGGGCCTGTCATCTGCTTTTTTTACTGGGTTTGTCATGAGCTTTGTGTGGCAGGAACAGTTTCCTGGGAGGGTTATTTATCTCCAGTTCCCCAGCCCTTCCTTGCCCAACCTGCCACGGTAAATGCCATTAGTGTGTTTGTGCTGCACTAGCAGGGCTGGGGAGTTCTGTGATGCTCTCCTGGCCCTGGGCCAACTGTGGGGCTGAACTGAGCTCAGGAAAAATCCCCGGGATCCTCTCTAAGAATAACCATCACGTGAGAGCAGGAGTGTTCCCCTGCTTGGAGGGAATTAAGATGCCCTGTTGGGAAGGAAGAACAGCAGCAGCTTAAGGGCTGGGCTGGCATCCCTCTGCTGAAGGGATAAGCTGCAGGGCCAGAGGAGGCAGGAGGGTCTGGCTGTAACCTTTAGCTTTCCTTGCTGCCCAGGATGACACAGGGCTTTCAGAATACACTGGTTTCTAAATGAGAATCTGATCAATACCATGTGAAGGAGAGGGGAACGGACTTGCTGAGCTCCTGGTGTAGTAGAGTTCCCTGCTGGGCCTTGGCCTGCAGATCAAATACTGATTAATGTGCTGTTGAACTCATTTCTGAGCACTTTACTGTAGCTGTATTTTTAACTTTACCCCCCTTGGCAGCATGGGAGGTGCTGGGACTCGTGTAGGGGTCTGGTGATGCTGCTGGAGAGGGGCTGCACGAGGGTCATGTTGTGGCAAGGCAGGGATGGATCCTGAGCTTGTGTCTTCCCAGTAACTCCCTCTCTGAGGGAGAAGGGCTCTCTCCATTAGCACTGGTGATGGAGCTGGGAATGTGCCCCGTGTTCCCCCTGAACAGGCAGTGTTCCCCCTCTGGGAGGCTTGGGATGACTCACTGGACCTTTCCCCACCTCTCATCCCGTTCTGAAGCTGAACTATCCTTCCAGCTGCCTTTGGGAGCTGTTCCATTAGCACCAGCAGTGCCTCCTTCCCCTGCATCACAGGCAGGCAGAATTCCCAGGTCTCCAGCAAATCCTTCCATGAGCTGTTGTAGCCAAAGGCTTCAGCTCTGCTTGCAGAGGTGCCCAAGTGTGCTCAGTTTTCAAAGTTAAAGGCTTCTGCCTTCATTTAAAAGGATTTCTGAGGTTTGTCTTTCTTTCTCCCTTGTTCTGTAGACACAACTGTCCCTACTGAGGAGTAATTCCCAGTGACATGGAGTTTGTTAAATCTCCATTATATTTGCTGTGGAGTTGCCCCGAGATGAACAAAATCCACACAGTGAGTTAAAAGATGGTGCAGAGCCCCCTCCTGAGTGTGTTCTGGTGACACACCAGTGTGTGAGGGCAGGTTTGGATATTCCAAAGCTGCTCTCAAGCAGGGTAGGGAGCAGGGTAAGGAGCAGGCTCCACAGCTCGGAGGTGTGCTCTGCTCCCACCCCAAATGCACTCAGGGACTCGAATTCCCCACGAATTTCAGGGAAACACAGGGGCTGAGTTCTGTTCCTGGCCTGCAAGTGTGACCCACGTGGAGCAGGCTGAGCTGCCTGTGAGTGCTGAGTGGGCCTGTTCCCCCTGAACCAGTTTGCCTGGTGGTCCTGGAGTTGTGCTCTGGCAGGAACCTGGGCCGGGCACTCACAGAGCAGCTGCTTTTCC